ATGCTTCTCGAGCTCTTGAGAACAAAGTCCGTCTCCATCGGGGCTCCGCTAAGCATCTTGCCGAGATGTGCGGAACATCTCAAGAGCTTGGAGCACTTTGTGCACCGAATGCCTCATGTTGATGTCTATCGTGCTCTGTCAGAGCGGCTCCTAGCCGTCGAGCAAGCTAATGCGTCACTTCGTACGACGGTAGAGCGCCTGGCGCCACTGGAAACAGAAATTGCTACACTTCATGCCCGGTGCCAACTGCTGGTTCAGCTTCTGGGTGGTCGAGCGCCTGTGAATATCGTCCCGGCGTCAACGCCTCCACGTTTTCTCTTCTCTAAACGTGAATCCCGGTACGACTTAAGCAAGCTCACATAAAACATCGGGTGGGCGCACATCCTTCTCGAAAGGTTCAGCGTATATGCAAGGCCCCGCGTTGCCACGACCTTTAAGGGTCCGATAAACCGTGGAACTAGCTTCGCCGTAAAGACAGCAGAACATGCATGTATTGAAAGATTTTTAGCATTCAGACAATTGGGTCTTCGATCTACAATTGGGTCTTCGACCTCAAAGTTTCAGCATGACTTCTGCTTCTTTCGTCTCCAGTTTTTGTTCATGTATTGGCCTTTAGCCACCGCATCGTGAACTTGTTGTAAGACCTTCAGTCTGGTAGACATGAAGTCATCAACTTCTTTACGAACGGCAAGGAGCTGACATCAGCTAGCCGCTCGGTTATTCGTTCTTCACGAAGCCCTGAGCCATGGGTTGGCGACGTCAGCGGGGCACGAAGACGAACGAGTCCGTTCACGTAGAACGGCATGTAGTCGGTTGACGCATGCGCTGCATTGTTCAGAGCGAACTCCACACGTGGCAGCATGATACTCCAACGCTTTAGTGTCTCAGCAGACGCTGCGAAGGACGTCTTCAGAACGCGCTTCACACGCCCAGTTTGACCATCGGTCTGCGGATGGTCCGCTGTTGATATAGTCAACTTGATGTCTGGCTCCCTAAAGATTGTCGACCAAACTCCCAAGTGAAGCGAGGGTCTCTGTCATTGACAATTGATTCCGGAAGTCCATGTTATCGAGCGATATGATCCCCAAACAACGTCGCAGTATCCACACCTTCAGTGGTGCCCGGTACAACCGCAAGATGAGCCATCTTGCTCAAACGGTCGACAAAGACCACCACACCCGTGTTGTCCGCCGAGTCCTTCGGCAGGCCAAACACAACTGCCAACACCGGTAGACTGACCAGCGGCGCCGCCGCATTCGGAGAGAATTTCACCCTTTGACACGTCTCACATGTCCGCACATATGCGCCCGTCAATCTGTACAGCTTGTACCACCAATAGTGGAAACTCACAGAGCTGTAGGTGTTCTCACGACTGAGATGAACACTGAGTGGGGTGCCGCGGGTCTCAAAGAGGATACGGTTATTCGAATCCTCATCGTGAGGAACCACAATCCGTGGCATATCCGTTGAATTGGTGCCATAATATGGCAACCCGTTATTCAACGAATATAGGTGTAACCATGTGTGCAATCGCGACAACACTTTCTTGACCGAGATCCAAACGCCTTGCTCCCGAGAGCCCGTGACAGCACTATCATACCCGCATATGTGGCGCAGATCAAATCCGTCACGAACGACGTCACCGTCGTGAAATGAGCAGGCACATAATCCGGTGTGGTGACAACGCATAAGCTTTTTGGCTTATACTTCACCTCGAAGCTAAAATTCCGCGAAGAAGGAGAGCTACCTGGCCCTCCTCTGCAAGAGGTGATGCCACTGACCCGCAGTGCGTAGTGATGCATGATCTGTGTAGATAACAAACGGCTTAGAGCCGAGCAGGTGCACCCTGAAGTTGGCAAGTGCATACTTCATCGCAAGTACTTCCTTGTCGTGGACTGGGTTGTTCTTCTTTGCAGCCTTAAGCTGGCGAGAATCTAATGCGATCACCCAATCTCGCCTTTTGGGGTCTTCTTGTACCAGCTAGGCTGGATTTTTTGCGTGTCGTAGACATGGTTCATAGAGCGGAGAATGTTTAAAGTTGCTCTAAAAAATGTGAATGTGCCACAGACACGCGAGCCTCGTATGAGGCAACGATTAAATGTGACTTGAGGATGTTCACAATTTTAGTCAGGGGCGTGTAACGGAGTTACGCGTACCCCTGTATGAAAGGGCGGGTCGCAAAATGGCGAGGTTCAACAATTCACTCGTAAAAAAGCACATGATGGTGTGACCAAACATAGATGTGGATAACTCAAGCTGGTGTAATCACACAGTCTGTGGCTACACCGTCACAAGAAGCCAACACGTGGCAGGAGTGCCAGTAATAATGCATATTTCTGTATTAATTAGATTATACTATATTGATTATGTATGACTATATTAATCAGGAAAAACTAGGGTTTTGGATTTTGGAGGGTCTGCCAAAACTAAAATAACTAAATACGGTCTTGTTTTTAAACGAAAGAGTTCAATTACCTTGGCTAAGGTTTAAAGTACTCTTAAAGGCGAAGCGGATTGCGATCCGCTGCACTCGTATCGGTTCATGTAAAGAACGTAAGGTCGGTGACTTAGCTTAGCTTCCTTTAATCAAAGAGCTACGGCAGCCTCGTTGTAGTGAATAGCTCCGAGAAGCCATGGAAGCTCCTTACCAACTACGGGGCGTCGGGCTCTTACGCTCGACGCTCCAAGATAGAAGGAAATCAGCTGTATGCTGAGGCGCTGAAGGTGCTGAAGGCGCGGTAGAGTGACACTATCACTGTTCGCTTAGCGACGGGTAATGTGTCACGAGTACGAAGGTTCCTGTGGACCTCGGTATCAAGTTTACTAACTTTAACAGCGTGTAAAGCTGCTTAGTTCTAGACATGGATTCAAGGTATGACCTCATCCTTGGTATGATACGGTTGGAACACATGAGCCATGGACCGACTGGAGGTTGAAGACCCTGGGCGCTACGCGCACGTCTCCTGATGGAGCATTAATTAGTCATGAACCCAACTCTGCCAGATAGCAAAAACGCTATTGGCGCGTGCGCTGGGCCAACGTGCTGGAGATCGGAGTATCCAAGTTGGTGAACACCGAAGGTGTGTAAACAGGAGTCCCAAGCATGCCTCGCGGGCTGAACGAGGAGTGGCACGTAACCCAGTGAGCGCTTCTCGAGTATCAGAGCAGTTGCGGTATATCATGGGTGGCATGGTCGAACAAGGGCAGGAGCATCGAGGGCGAGGGCCCAGTGATGCACGTGGAGTGGTACGTAATCTATTGAGCAGTGCTCAAGTATCGGAACAGTTGCTGCATGCCAAGGGTGGCAAGGTCAGATGAGGTCCGAGACACCTTCGGCAACGCACTTCAGATTCGAGTAGACTAGCACGTTTTCCACTGGACGAAGACTGCGAAATTAGCGGCTCATCATCGAATGTTGCTGATATTATCGATGCTCCGATGGAGCAAGGGGAAGTCAGCGTGTTTCTCTTACCCAGTGTATGAGTCATATGCATTTTGACATCTTCTAGTACTAAGTTAAATCACCCATGGAGAGTATGGGTTTACCTAACCTCTGCTGCTCTGTACGCAAAATGGTTGTTGAATGAGGCATGGTAAATGATAATATTTTGAGTGAAAAAGCGCTTGCGGACAACTTTTATGTGCTCACTTTTCTTTGGATGTGGGAGGTAAGCTCGCACGCATAAGTGTGTAGTAGCTTTTCGTCAGCGCGGCAAAAGACTTTGGAAAATCTAAACTGTAACACGACGAAATTACAGCAAGAGTCGGCGTGACTTTGCGCTTGAAGTAGAATAACATGGGCTGCCACACGGTAGCTAGTCGGACATCGTCGTAAGGTTTACGGCGGAGTGTCACAATACTTCTTGCCGATGGAAACGGTCACGGGCCATATTGCAGTGAGCACCTTATCACTTGGGAGCGGCTACGCCGTGTATTGCCAATTGATGGCAAAGGTGTTTGTCGGGGATTAAATAGTCACCTAGATTGCTTCATCACGTACTACAAAAGCAGGCACGGTAAATGCAGAAAAGGAGAGGAACCTCGGTTGCAGTGAGGGTTTATTTTGCGCAAGGTCTCAAATAGACAAAACATGTGCTAACCCCTTCTGCTCTACATGTAAAGAGGGTGTGATAGGGCGAGTACTGCAATCTTGCGTCCCTAATCCTTAACTGTTTTTGGTACAATCATCTTGATTTCGGTAAGGTTCGAAATTCGGTATTCATTTATATTGTATATTCCGAGGAACTTGTGTGCTGCTACCCACACATCAAAAAAGATGGTCGAATTTTATCGATACTAAGATGTATATCTTTGATTTTAGTCAAGATATCATAAGTCCTGAATGTAAATATTCTTACAATAGCAAAAGCAAACTAACAGTGTTAGTTACTTCATAGTCTCCGTTTTGGTCCATGTAGCTGCGCACGATTCCAACCTTTGTGCGGTTGTTTATACGGACTTTTAGAGTCATAGCCTTCTGCACAAAAACACCATTCGTATGTCGAAATATCTTATCCAACCTAAAGTGCTGATGTTTCCTGACAATGGTGAGCTCATGACTCACCTAAGCTCCTACAAAGGGTACCTGACTTCTTCAACTTCCATTCAATCCATGGTTCGTGACGTTTCAGCTACGCCATACCAGGTATAAAATCACATATCAAGTTCATGTCTAAGACGAAACAACGTTATACTGTTAAATTCATTGTACTTCACTTGGAGTAAAAT